AATTATACTAATAAACTATGCTTATTTTGTGTTTTAACCCAAACCTTTTGTTCTATGTAAGTATCTGGAAAAAGGGTTGGCGTCGTCGACGACGACGTCGACGTCGTCCTCCTCCTCCTCCTCCTCATCGTCATGCCTTAAATATAAACTTAATGCGTGATTTCATTTATTAAAAATTTCACTGTTTTTTTTTACGATTCCGGAAATTAATAAAAATTTATTTTCTTTTTTTTTTTGCGATACGTTAATCGATCTATAAAATCTATAATATAATAATTATTATTATTATTTAAAAAAAAATAAAAACAATCGAATTTAATAAAATTTCAAAAATTTTTTCCGTTTAAATTGTCTTTTTTTTTTTTATAAAAAATCGATCGTGGTAGGAAATACCTATTATTAAAATTTTTTTAACATAACACCTGAACTAATAAATTGTTACTTTTGAAAAATGAAACGAGTGCGGAGAGGGGGGGGGGTAATAACACACGCGCACGCACGCACATTCACGAACGTAGGCCTGCACCAAACGCACACGCACGCACGATATTCTTACATTCGTGTTAATCCATATCATGTTGGTCGTGATTATCGAGATTAAGTACTTAATAAAAAAAAAAAAATTTCATTGGCTAATCTAATCCCTTTATTATCAATTATTATTATTATTATTATTATTATTATTATTATTAGTATTATTATTACGCCCATGTAACAGTCACTTTGCAATGAATTTATAACTCTAATTACACTTTTTTTTCTTTTTCTTTTCTGTTTGGGTGGAGCATTTTTTTTAACTACCTGTTGTGACCCATTTAAAATCATATAAAAATTTTTCTCCATCGTATCCCGAATCGCGAGTCGAGGCATTTCGACGATACCACGGATGAATAATAATAATAATTTTTTTTTGTCTTATCAATAGGTCCGAGATCGAGAAGGATAAAACGTAAGGATAAAAAACCAGAAGAAAAACGACCTAGAACGGCATTTTCCGGAGATCAATTGTCGAGGCTTAAACACGAATTCGCGGAAAATAGGTACCTGACGGAAAGGAGGAGACAAGATCTCGCTAAAGAATTAGGACTCAATGAAGCTCAAATAAAAATATGGTTTCAAAACAAAAGGGCGAAAATGAAAAAAGCAAAAGGGGAAAAAAATCCACTAGCCCTTCAATTAATGGCTCAGGGGTTGTATAATCACAGTACGATACCCGTTGACGAAGATGAATACCTGGAAGAAATGGCGGCGGCTTCAAATCAATCAAATCCCGTTTGATAATATCCGTTTTAAAAAAAAATTTGTTATCATTTTTTAATTATTTTTGTTATTGGAAGGAATTTATTATTAATTCGCACGAATGTAGTAACGGAATTTGTGACGTTACAAAAAACAAAAAACGAAACGCGAACGATGATAGGCGCATATCTTACACGACACGTTTCCGTTTAATTACTCTATGAAAATTTAACAAAAAAAATCTCTGCGTCGCATTTTAAATTTACGTACTTATATCATTATTATCATTATTATTATTATTGTTTTATCACTTTTTTTTTTTTTACTGCCACGACTATCGATGTGTGGAAAATTTCGCTTCAATGGAAAATTATAAAAAAATTTTTTTTTCAATTTCAAATTGATTGTTACGGATGGGATGTACCTTAAATAACCGAAACGTTTGTTTTTCCGAACGTGATGGAAATTTGTGAAAAATCAGTGAGTTTTTTAGAATGATAATAATAATAATAATTTTTTTTCCAAAACAAACAAAAAAAAATTATTTTAAATTATAATAAGAAGATTTTTTTTTTTTTTTTTTTTTTTTTTTAAATGTGCAATAAATTTTTTTTATTAAAAATATTATATGACGAAATATTTTTTTTGTTTGTTTGTTATTCGATGCTGAACAATTAAAAAAAATACTGAACAAAGAAAAATAAAATAAATTTTTTTTTTATCCGCGATGAAAAATATATTTAAAAAAAAAAGAGAGAGAGAAGATATTGATTAAAAAAATATTTTGCGTCTG